CCAAAACCATAACTCTAGCCCAACAGTAAACAGGAAGTAGGGCATGGTGTTAGCTAGGTACTGCCGATGATTGAGGACACCTTAAAGAAATGTCTTCACTCTGTATCTCAAACTGACTCATACAAACACATTCCACTTGACATACATAAATCTACACAGCACATTTATGTGTCATTATTTATCATTTATCATTCCTCACAACTTTTATAATCTGTTTCTCTTGCATAAACATTAGTCTGACAAACGTAAATTAAACATTTATTGAATAAGCCGACCTGTTTTGTGGAGGCATTTTTTTCCTCTTCAGTTATTTTAAAGAGCAGTGAATCAGCACTGCACTGCACATTGTGCAAATGGAAAAAAACTCAAGCTCATATTTACTGTAGCCTTCCTCACTGGTGATCTCTTGTCATCTTATAAAGACTTTCCTCCACTCCTCTCCCCAAAAATAGAAAAAAGTACATTGATATGTTCATACGGTTACAATTGCTCAGGGTTCAGTAGCAAAGCAGGAAATAATGAGTTGTTCTTATACCACCGCAAATAAAGTCTAAATATTGGTAACAGAGCATTAAAACCATCTGACTTTGACGTGCAAGACCAGGGTTTACATCCTGTCATCAACAGTCAGTGTTGGTTTCTTTTAACCATGCAGACAACATTTTTCCATCCTGAACCATAAAGATTATCTTAACTTAACCACTCCATAACTTTGCTGTTGTTGCTTAGGAAAAGTCAGGGTCATATTTCAGTCTGGACCAAAGTGGACCAACCAACATTGCAGTCCCTGCAGCCATGCTGCTACCAAATGACGTCTGGTGTGCCAATAGGTGTGCCAGATCATAAAACTCTCATTTTGGAAAGCACTGACAGATGGCCCATTTTTGTCATTGAGGTAAGAGGACTTGTTAGTGGACGGCACACACAAGTGAATGACCACATTTATAGGAATACATACAAACAATATATAAGAAACAGTAAAGAAAAACTGCCTTCTACCCTGTGTTCGTCTGCGCCTGTGTCATCTCATGCATGTTTATGGTTTGCTGGTTATGAAACAGGTCACACTCTCCCCTTCAGCAGCTCATGAGAAGCAGCAAGTGACTGAGAGCTGGGGGGGGGGAGGGATTCTTCGACACTGAGTGAAAAAGCAAACGCTTTGATCTTCCATCAGCCAGGGAGGAATGGCTGCGCCGTGGTTCGGCTGAAGGGCATCGGACAACAGCACTCACAGAGCTGCGGGGGTGTGAAAGATGGCGTGAAAGATGAAAGGATTGGTTTTAACAGATGGATGAAAATGCAAATGAAATATTGTGTTTTAGTTTATTTGGGGCAGACGACAGGTGCAACTGCCTTTGTTGTAGGCCTGCAGTTACTCTGTCTATGGGGTTTTAGAGCTGTTACATAATTGTTTTTTAAAACAATGGTTATTCAGGTTCGCTCAAGCTCAATAGAGCACACACCACTCTCTTGGGGTCTGACAATCTTTTCTAAGATCTTGTCTCATTGTTCTTACTTATTTACTTTTTTACTCATTTATGTTAACCCAGCCCAATGTTCTATCAGACACTAATTCTTTGCCATAAATATGCTGATGAGTCAGATTTTATTAACTACAGTCTGAAGACTGATAAGGGATCCAGCAGTGTTATGCAACTGTCTGTCAGCATGACTGCTATCGTGCATTAATATTCTTGTTTTTTATTTATTCTCTGTTGTCACAGAAATGTAGATGTTCGAATGTTTTTCGACAGTTCAGTGTCAACTGAGAAAACTCAATTTGCTGCTGAAAACACTGGGAT